GGATATTTTCCAATAATTAAAAAGAATGATAAAAATAAACTAATAAACAGACAAACTTTTCATAAATATTTAGAGATTATATTAGATCCTATTCAAAGGTTTAAGAAATTTGGTATAAATTTGCTAATCAATAACAAAATAGTCTGGTTTATTCCAAAAGTTTCAACAATAATTACAGATTGGCCAGAAGCTGCAACATTTTGTCTGACTTATAAGTCAGTACAATCAAATTGTCCTTGCCACTTCTGTTTGATAGAAAGAGAAAAATTAGTACAAACAGACTGTTCTAAATGTGATTTGGTGCTTAGAAATTATGAAAATATATGAAACTATCTTAATAATAATGAAGAAGATTCAGTATGTATAGAATCCATACCAAATTTTTTTTGGAACTTTGAGTAAATTATAAAAATTTTTATATTTAAATATTTCAAATTGTTGCGAATTATTTTAAAATAATTCAATTTAAATTAAATATATTAACAATTAAATTAATATATGTTGTTTATTTCACAACATTGTGAAATATTTTAATATAGGAAATTTATAAACTTACCCGTAGTGTATTGTATATACACGGGTATCAACAAACATAAATTTATTAATTTATTCATAGTGTATGAACATGGGTATTAACAAATATGAATTTATTAATTTATTCATAGTGTATGAACACAGGTATCAACAAACATGACATACATAGAATATAACGTATAATCGGTATATAAATATAATATTCGTCTTTTATTTACTTTTCTTTTGATCTTTCAAATTCGATCAAAAGCTTTTCACAATGAATGAATCTGATATGAACGAACCTGATTTTTTCTTTGACTTTGACCTTTTTATTGAGTTTGACTCTATTAATGATCAAAATAAAACTATTTCGACTTTATTAAAAGTTCGCATAACACTCTGGCTATATTCTTGTGTTTCTATAATTAATGTAATCATCTAATTAAAGACTATTTTTTTTACCATAACAGCTTTACAAATCGAATATGGCAAGGACTGATACAGCTTTATTTGAAAATGAACAAGTTACCTTTGATTCGTTTTTAGAAAACGACGTGATTATTCCACTATTTCTTTATTTTAATATTATTTAATTAAAAGTAGTTATTATATTAAAGAATTATTTCTTACCTTGACAGGATGATTATATCTTAGCTAATAGTGAATCAACTTCATTGGCTTCAGCTTTATCAGTCTTAGCTTTATTGGCTTCAGCTTCAGTGGCTTCAGCTTCAGCGACTTCAGCTTCATTAGCTTCGGCTTTATTAGAAGTTTATGTAAGAATTCTTGTTTTTATTTATGTACTTACATACTTATTTTATTTAAATTGTCAACTTAATATTTACTTGCCATAACAGTTATTGGAATCCAGTATGCTACCAACAGATGCTTCATTTGACAATGAGTTAGATATATCAACTGATTTATCCAATTCCTTGGAATTAATATGTGGACTTTTCTTTTCTAACTGGGATGAATTCAAGGCCTGGATACATAGGTTTGCATTAGAAACTGGTTTCAATTATAAAATTAGAACCAGTGAATCAGATAAGGGAGTGTTGAGAAGAGTTATTTACGAATACACTAGGTCTGGCATACATATTTCACAAATTATATCTGATCCAACCAAGAGGTGTAATACCCATTCACAACAGACATAATGTCAATAGAGGCTTAATGTAACTTACTCAAAGACAAGTAACATTGTAAAAATTAATTAATTTGTAAATGAACATAACCATCTACTTAGTCCAGTAATAGGTGAAATAGCTCCACGGTTCCGAAAGTTGACAGATAAAATGTTGTGTGATGTAGAGAAGTATGTCATTCAAGGTTGAATGGACTCAGCATCTATCTATCCATTGCTTAAGCACGATTATCCAGACAAGCCTATTAATAAAAGGGAATTATAC